AAAATGTTGTTTGAGTTATTTAATTTAGCATTTCTTAGCAAGCCATCGTTATTTACAATTACAATAATTTGTTGACAATTAAGTCCTTAAAATAATTTTGAGTACATGCTTATAATATATTGGTACGCGTTTGCATTAAATATGTTAAATTGTCAACTTTTTTAGATTTATAATCAGAATAATTTTTCTCTCCGTGTTCAACAAATTGCGTCCATCGTTATTTCGCCGAAATCAAAGACTAAACGAAAATGTACAACAGACTTGTTATAACTTATAAGATTTATCAGTTATCGTCGGAAACATTTAACAAAAATAGTGTTAGATTAGAAATAAAGTAATAAAGATTAAAGCTTGTCCCACACGACTCATGCACTCGGTGAACACAGAAATCACAATTATAAAGTCCCTATTACTGATAGATGACAACTGTGCAAACGAGTTGTCATAAATGTAATAAATATATTAATATGTGCGCAAACAAGTCTCAACCTTTTACTTCGCGTAAAAATTTCTGGTGCACAACACAGTAAAAATTAATATTTTCAGCTCTGGTATACACATAATCGTCATCATTTTTACGATTTCGCCAAGGAACGTGTACCTTATAGAAATAAAATACACTGCAACAGTTAATATAATTACAATTACAGGGATTTTTTTCTTTTTCACTTAAACCATGTTCTATGCATGGATGTATCGACACATAAATATGTCTTACACGTAACACGAACGAATAAAACGAACCTTTACATTAACTGCGATCAGGTTAGTATGCAGGGTGATTTTTATATCATCAACTTGTCAATATCTTGGTGAGTTTTAGGAGTTTTAGAAAAAAAAATGTTTGCGACAAATCAAAGTTTAAATATTAGTTCTGTTTACTGCTGCTTGAAAATTATCAAAACCATTAATGAGAACCAGAAGTCAAAATGAAATTTTATTTCGATTTAACGATACCTAAAAATGGCCATAACGGATTAAAACGTTTTACGAATTGGATCTCCCTATCCTATCACTATCCTATAATTAATTGAATATTTTACGTGGTAGCCATATGCACGCACTTGTCTATAGTTGTACGCCGTGCACCTCTGACGATGATTCTCAATTACGTTAAACGTATACACCGATCGACAGACAACAATAGATATTAATGATATTTACTAATCAGCTAATATCTAACCGTTATTTCCCTTTTTTACTATTAAATTTAAACTATATTGTTGTGTTTTTGTACTGTGTAACGTACCTTCATAAGTGCATTAATATTTTCAATATACAAGTATATGTATATGTATATTTAAATATTAATCAAAAAGTTTAGCAGTGATGTGACTAAAAGAAAAAAAAAACTTTAACTAACACAATTTCTTTTAGAAATAAATTAAAAATTAATAATTATTTTGAGTGCAATCAACATGTTAATGTGAAATTTTTTCCCGTCAAAATTAATTTCATATTCATAACTATGACTGAGATTTTAATGATTTAAAAAATACTCTTAAAACAATGCAAAACTGATTTAAAATTGTCATAATATGCATTGAGAATTGATTAATTGCAGTTTAAAAACGATATTATAAAAATCAAACAAACATATATATTTATATATTTTTTTTTTTAACTTAATAATAAAATTAATACCTATTTTTTTGATATTTACATTTTATTTAATTTTTTAATTTTATTTTAATTTTATTTATTTCATAAATCACCTATGTAATTTAATATTACTAATACTCAAACGGTAATTGGCAAATATATAATTATATTGAATTTATACTGCGCGTTTGATTATCTAAAAAAACATATATATTGGCTGATATGTTTGTATTTTTTTTTATCAACGGTAGCGGATTTAAGGAAGGAACAGAGAGACCTTGACCTCCAATCGGTCTACAACCTCGGAGAGTTTTTTAATACTTACGATGTAAAAATGATCTTAATACATTTTGGATGATAATAAATAATAATAACCATAATAGGTATTTATATTTATTAACGCATCAATGTCTAGTACGAACTCATTTTAAATAATCTTTCTTATTACAATAAATTATTTCTATGCTACATGACTAAATTTGAATGTATTCCTTCTCTTATTTTTTCATATTCAGTCGTGAATTTATTGACTTTAAAATACCTGACGATGAATTTTTAATCGAAATCGGTCGTACTTTACAAATATAATAATATTTCATATTAAAAAATATTTTCCTACGCTCCTTCCTGTGCCGTATAAATAAATGACTACAACTCTGGAAACACGCATGGTTATTTAATTATATAATTTCGCCAAGGCACATGTATTTAGTATAAATAAAAAACAAATAAATTCGGTTAATGTATTTACAGCGCTGGGTTATTATTATTTTTTTTACCACACCTTTAGGCGTGGATCTAACCTCATATGGATATGTCTTACCCGCAACACAAACGAGTAAAAATAAATTGACTACGATTCGGCTATTATATAGTAAAAACCATGGTCAGATATAATTTATTAATTGTACTGTGTATGATAACTGAAATGCTTACAAAAGCATTGTTTTCCAAGAGAGTATGTTAAAAAGAGATGGCACATACTAATAGTGTTACTATATTTGTGTTACACATGGCGCCAATATCTTACATTCATTTACTGCGATATTATCTTAGTTACGTTTTTTAAGTTTTGTGTATCACTAACTTAAAGTCCGCCAAATATTTTCAATAGATTTTATAAAATAAAAAAATTATAAATATTTACTACAGTATCTACAATTAGGATTTAGTTTAAATTTGCCGAGTACAGTAAAATGTTTCCATTATAATGTTTTTAATGAATTCCTCACATTTTTACCAACACCCGTAGTTAAACCAAATTAGAGACACGATTAAAATAATTATTTCACCAAAAAGTAAAATTACATTGGAAATGTAGTATCGGTAATAACTGTTTATAATATATTGGTTTATGTACCAAATTAACATTTATATTTACAACGATTTTATAATCTACATAGAACAATGTTCACTTCTGTTTGATCCACCAATGTTTTTTAAATTTTCCTAAAACAATTAAAAGCAATACTAATATTACAATATAAAGAAGTGACATTGATATATCCATAATGATCGATAGGTGGCTCAGCGACCATCCTTTTAATGCAATGTTGTTTATCATGTTTCCTATTATTCGCATAGGCATTAATCGAGTAAAGATCCTTAAGAACTCTGGTTGTCCTTCCACAGGCCATATTCCTCCTGAAAATAAAAAATAACAATATCATTAAATCGTTATGAATATTTTGCAATAGAGCGTAATTGCACAAAGATATATATATATATATATATAATATATATATATATTGCTACAAATTCCGATTCAATTCAATAACATTCGGTGGTTGTACAGTAATGGTTAATAAAACTGGAGAATAGTTTACTACAATAGGTTCAATAACGATCTTTATTAAGTGCACTAAATAATAGTTGTGGTGAGCTATGTGTGTATGTAATAAAATATGGGGTTGCGTATAAGGCCAACAATAAGAATTATAACAATAACAATTTTGATGACTGTAAATGATTAAAAATTAGTTTGCCAGACGCTGTATGAAGTAAACTCGTCAAAATAGAAATAAACATTAACAACATAGTCTTCAGAATAAAATGTAGATTAACGTGTAATGTACGCGACGTTTTATAAGAAACCCATAACTTTTGTATCGGAAACGTTAATAATTATTCCATACGTGTATTTTACCTGACAGTAAAAACTGTGAAAGCGCCAGTCCGGTTATCACGTAAACACCGCCCAGTATGGTCGTAGATAGTACAGCAGTAAGAACACCTGAAAATTAAGCAAACATTTCACAGTTGGGATTAATACCTTTGATGGTACGTCCATAAAATAAAACAATTTCTTATGAATGTATTCACCCGAAATCGAAAAACTTTTTCAAAATTAAACAGGTTTTAGTAGTTTCTAACCAGAACAACGAGCATAACTATTATTACTGTTGTCCGGGCCGGGTACGAACGATAATAGTGCGTGCACTCGGTCACCGTAAATGTGATTACTTGCGTGTGTATACTTAACAAACTACAAGCACAATAAACACAATTGGTGTGTAGTAACAATATGTTCTTATTTTATGGTGCGAAATATACAATTCGAAGCAACACAAAATCATTATATAAAATATTGCTCTTTTAGCTAAAAAAAAATAATATCATGAAATACTTACTGCCCTCCAGGCCCGTCAAGAAAAAAATGTACAATAATAAGGAACTGCTGATTCGACACAACTTATAAATTTATCTAATGTGATAAATAAATATAATTTAATGTGACTATCTAGTGACTATACGGCGACTAGTGCTCACGCGTATAAAATGCTCAGTTACAAGTAAATAATTCAATTTAAATTACAAAATAAATAAATACAAAATCTCACAATGCAGTCAATGTACGGTTGGCCAGCTGCTACCTGGCCTAAAGGGGGTTACACTTTAAACAATAATAAGAAAAAAAATTAATAAGTGATTTGGATCCACGAGATAATAATGAATATGAAGAACAATACAAATACAGTGGTTAGTGCTTTTGCAATATAATATATAAAGATGGATTATGCGTTAATCCATTGATTAACGCACACACAATATAAATATAAAATGGCGATTCGTGTCTAAATTAATATAAATAATGTTCTGTGATTTGCGCCTTG